ATTATTACTATTTTATAATATCAATAGATTTTTTCTTGATATACTTGGTTTATATGATCCGATCATACATGATTTGATTAAGTTATATTTTTCATTATGCTTTATCATGTATGCAATTGTTTATTTATTTCATTGTTTTGATATTTATTTCTTGCATTTTATTAAGAAATTATTATTTATTTATAGTGTGATTGTATTTATCTTACATAATACACCGTTGAGTTATTAAAATAAGCCATACAATAATTTTAATCTTAATAATAACTGATTATTAACATTGATTATTAAGTTATTTCAATTTTCTTGCATGAAAGAAAGTCTTTTTAATTTCAAATATGCGAAATGCGAAATAATTTCGCTCAAATTCAGTTGTTTGTCTCATGATTAAAGATTCTGTTGAATGATCATATGATCGTATTTAAAAATTAACAATTGTTGTTTTATTTGCGGATGATTGTTAAATTATTGTTAAATTATTAATAATAATTGTTAACTGTAAATTGTTAAAATTATTTGTCCAATCATTGAAAATCATATCGAACTGGTAAAAAAGATCTTTTATAAGCATTCAAATAAATTAAATTTAAATAAACATAAAAATAATAATTGTTAAATTACAATATAAGATAAGCTAAATTATATAGTTCTAGTAATATAGAATAAATAAAAAATAGAATTTGTATATATTTAATACATCTCAAATATAATATTTGTCTTTTGAAGAAATTGTTATAATTCCAAAATCCTTTATAATTATCTTATTGTATTAAATTATTTCTTTTGCGATTCTATTCTTCTTCTATTTCGAATCCAAAATTTTATGTTTAACTTCTCAGTTATATTTATATATATATATATATATACTTCTTACTTATAGTTATATTTTTCAGACTTTTAGAATTGTGATAAGTATGTAATAAAAAGCATGTGATACATGTTTCAAAATCGTTTACACCCCTGCGTATATGTTGAAAGCAAAGAAATAATGTTTTCGAATCCATATTATATAAAATTTTTTATTTATTATAATTAGTTTCTCAATGTGACTAACAATTTTTGAAGATAAACATGTTTCGCGATTATTTTAATCAGAAATTGATTTATAAATTTTTATTTGTTTTCGCAATTTTCTCTTTTAAATAAATTCTTATATATCTAATACTCATAATAATATTATAAGAGTAAAGATTAGAAAGTTGATTGTAAGTCATGGAATTTTATAATACTATAAAGTCTCAAAAACTAAAAAATATGTTTTTTCTAACAAACACGATTTATGATTGAATAAACAACTTAAATCGTGATAGAGTAATCTTCGAAATTTTCCAAAATTTTAAAAGTTCTATAATCTTCAAAAAAGATAAAAAATGAATGTCATAAACATTGCGAGTCAAAATCTCAATACTTTTTTTCTCAACAATCTCTTTATTATAATAAAATATAATAATCACAAATCATGATTTTAGAAAAAATAAACTTTTAATCTTGAAAAATTTTGTCTAAAAGTTTTATTAAATTTGTTCACGGACTTATGTGTATTAATATAAATGATGATATAAGTCATTATATTACAAAAAAACTTAAAAAAAAATTAAAATTTTAAATGAATCAAATTATACATTCATTTAACTTACCATTGTCTATAATTTTTTTTTATTAAGAATGTAGCCGCCGGCACTAAATTTTAAAGGATGAAGAAGAATTGTAATGAAAATTGCATTGAATTATTATTACTAAATTATTATTAAATTCTTGTTCTTAAATATTTTTATATTATTAAGTTATAAATGAAAATTATTTTTATTCAATATATTTCTCTATTATGAAAAAATCTTTAAAAAAATTCTGAAAATATTCACATAGCATTTTCTTAACATTTTAAACAAAGAAAAAAATATTTAAATATTTAAAGAGAGAGATCAAAAAATAAAAAAAAAAATAAATATTCTAAATAAGATTAGAAATATTCTAAATTAGATTACAAATATTCTAAATAAGATTAGAAAAAAAATTTATTTGAATATACAATTATTGTAATAATATGTCTATAAATTATGAAGTTTGATATTCAAAAATATTTGAATATGAATATTCCTTTTAAGAGTTAAAAATCAAAATATATATTATATAATACAGTTAAAATATAATTTTTTAAGTAGTAATATTTTAATACATACATTCAATAATAATAAAAAAAGAAAAAAAGACACACATTTATCTTAAGGTATATATACTACCGTTAGACATTGAATAGATGATACAGGATGATATTGCGAAGACAATTCTGTTTTTGAAAGAAGAATTTGGACGAGCCTTTGCTTTATATATTTATTAGAAACAATTCGATCTGATTGAAGTGCCAAACTTATAATTATAAAAAGTTAAAATTCTTTTTATTACATTATATAGTATTTATTACGAACAATAAAAATTTCGAAAACACTATCGTAAATTTTTTTCTTGGAAAAAATAATCTTATGCTTAATTAAATTAACTTTATTTAAAATGCTTAGAGATTATCATCTTTTTTTTAAAAAATATTTATTTATAGAATAATTCTTTTTTTACAAGTTGCATATTATGGAATTATTCATCTATTGAATGTTTATTTACAGAGTAATATTTTTTTTAGAATATTAAAATTTTCTTCAATGCTGCTATTAATACAGAAAGCTTTTGCTCATAAGATATATTACAAAAAGATTGTAATGCAAAATTTATAACAGATTTATCTTCAGTTAGGCAGTTTTGAAACTATATTATATTAGAAAATAGACCAATTAAAGCATTAAAATAAACAAAATAAAAAAAACAAGATATCATTTATGAATCATACTTATAAAAAATACTTTTTAAAAAATTTAAGCAATATTAATCATTGGATTAAAATCCATGAAGAAAATCTATGATTATACAAAATTCAACGTGAAGTATGTATTTCACTTTAATGATTATATTGTTTGTTGATTTTGACATTAAATAAATTGCAAAGTTCCTAATTCTAAAGAGAATTTATTATATTTCAAATTATTAATATTATATTCAAATTATTTGTCCAATCATTGAAAATCATATCGAACTGGTAAAAAAGATCTTTTATAAGCATTCAAATAAATTAAATTTAAATAAATACAAAAAATTTAATATCTTTTTTTAAATAATGATTTAGAATTTCTTTGAAATTTTTGTTTTTCATGATAAATACTATACAATATAAAAAAAAGAGTTTTATTTTGAAAATCAAAGTTAATTTTGCAATTATTGGCAAATTTAGTTTAACAAATTTCCATGTAGAACAAAAATTGATTCTATAAATCATCTCCAAAATCAATATCAAATCAATAACAAATAATTTGTCATATCTTGCATAAACAGTATTTAAAGTATTTTATAAATTATTCAAAAATTAAAACACTTATTATGTGTAAAGAAAACAGTCAAAATGATTATTTTTATATATATCAGGATTATAAAAATTAATAAGAAGAGAGAAATCTTTGGCAGAAGTAAATTCAATGCACCTCATCTGTAATAGAATTATCTAAATAGCAAATTTCCAATTGTCGAAGTAAATGTGTTATTATTTGTCTATAAAATTATATATTTTTATATCAATTTTTCTCTTAAAATATAAATAAATATAGTCTTAATTCACGATACAAATTAATGTAATGATTATTTATAAAAATAATTTTTGTTAAATTCAGAGAAATCCATATTAAAAATCCTATAATTCTTTTATTTGATAATCTGTTTTGAATTCTATATTGAATAATTTTAAATAAAAATATAAAATATAAAGTGTACAAAGTATTAATAAAAATTGCACTATTAAGTCTAATAGAATTTGATAAGTATATTTTTGATTAAGTTCATGTGAAAATTTAAGGATCTCAAAATGAATGTGCCTTTAATAGATAAAAAAAAAGAAATAGGTTAGAAATAGGAAATAAAATAATATTAATATTATTATTTTTTCAATCTAATAAATTATTATATTAATAAGGGAAAAGAATAGCTTCAGATATTTTAAATAACATAAAAAAATAAATCTATAAATTTTAATGAAACTTTTCTTTCAGAAAACAAATATATAAAAAAACTTTCTAATTTATTGTGATTATATAAATCAGAAAATGATACATACAATCAAAAAATGTAACCTTAAATATAATTTTTAACACTATTCAAATATACTTAAAAATCAGAATAATGTAATATAAATATAAAAATCAGTATTTGTACATTATTCATTTTTACATCTATTATATTATATTTTTCGAAAATATTTTAAATAAAAAATACATTGTCTTATAATATTCGTTTTTATTAAAAAGGTCTTGTAATTTTTTTCACAATATTTTTTTGTAATAATTTTTTTTATGAATTCTCTACATTAATCTGTTTCTATATTAATCATTGAAACCAATAAGAAACCAAATATTGCTAAATATAATCATGATTTAAATCAAAAAATTCAAATTCCGGAATACTAAAATTTTTATGTTATGTTTTATATTATATCTAATTCATTTAATAAATTTATTAATTTTAAAAGATATTTAATTTTTATTTTTTAAAATTATTTTGTGATTCTTAAAAATTCTATATCTGAAAATATTAATTTCATCTTTTACCAATTTTGTGCCAATATAATATGAATGAAAATTTGTCAAATGATGTTTATAAGTCTTAAAATATATTGAATTATTATTTAAATTAATAGAACATTTAATAATAAACATTGATATCAGTATTATCACTGATAATAATAAAAATTAATATCAGTATATTAGTAATATTACTATTATCTAATATCTATAATTTATCTTCATTCAATTTGCTTAATACATATGTTATTATTAGATATAATTCTTTATAGTCACAGATAATGGAGATATTAAAAATATTCAGAGTTACCTATTGTCTGAGGTATCTTTACTAAATAATATTACAAAATTACAAAATTTTATATATTGCTGTAAAATTATCAAACATACCTTGCAACTTGAAGAACATGTTGAACAAAATATTTTCTGCTATAGTAATCCATTAAAATTATAAATTTACGTGCAATACGTGATCTTATATTTTATTATACGTATATTATATTTTACATTAATATTTGTATTATATAGCTGATATACTTCTTTCATAAGTTTATTTATCTTACACAACTTGTAAAACATTTAACAATAATTCAAGTATATAAAATCATTCATATTTTCACAGTTTTTAGAAAAATGAAACAAAAATAAAAATATCTTATTTTTATAATTAAAGAAAATTTTATAATCACAAAAATTTTTTTTTATAAATCTGAAAATAAAGAATGATCTCTCAAAAATGCATTTTAGACTGTAGAAATATAAAATCAACATTTAATTTTAATATCTTTTTTCTATTTACTATTTAGATAATTTTCCTTTATTTTTAATTTTATACTAATTAGAATTAAGTAATAATTGGAGCATGATTTAAATTATTTATTTACTTTCAAAAAAAAATTATATTATAAAAATTTTAATATTTAATTTTTTGAGACATTATAATTTATATTTTTACAAAACATAGATCATATTTCAAATTAAATCAATTCAATAATTATTACATATATATTTGATGTCGATTAGAACAGAAGATAAGAATATTATTTCTTTGTAAAATAATATTTTCATCGATATCATCATAATTTAAAAAGTTGAGAATTAATTCATTGCTATGGCTATTAAATTCTTATCTTGATATCATTGAAAATCTAACCTTATTCTGACAAGATAATTTAGAAAATTAGAAGAAACCATAAATTAATCATGCTGTAAAAGTTAAAAAAATTTACTTGAACCGAAATAACAGAAAAAATTATAATTTAATTACTATTTGTGATCGCTTAATCACATTGATTGAAAATAAAAAAAAAATAAAATAAAATAAATAAAAATTAAATAAATAATAAAAAATAATAGAATTACATATTAATTTTATCGTATTTATCTGAAATACAATTTCAAAAAAATTGATATTAGTAATATTATTTAATAGAATATTTTGTTTTTTTCAAATTATAAAATGAATAGTTTTATTATATAGTTCTATTTGTATGTTGTCATAATCTTCTTTACAATTCATTTGTAGCTAATGCAATTAAAGATAATCATCATCTAAAACCCTATTTAAAATTGTATATTATCAACATAATGTTCATAAAACTGAAAATTGCAGATATCATTTTACTTATTTATCAATGAAGATACAAATTAAAATGGAGAATATGATATTTTTTAAAGAAAATGTTAATTTCAATTTAATTTTTTTTTAAGAGTATTACATATAGATTTTAATTAATAATTGTATATTATTAGCAATTAATGAAAATTAGAGAGTTTCAAATCTTTTTTTTTAAATTTTTTTTTCAATCTATAAAGATCCGTATTTTCTGTGTTTTCTATGTTTCGATATTTCAAATGTTTAAATATAATATATATTTTAAATATAAATTGATTTGTAATATATTTGCATATTTTTTTAATTTTCTTAATTGTAAAGATTTTATTAGATAAAATTATTTTTCTTATATCATTGAAATATTGGCAATTATTCGTAATGTTTTATTTTAGAATCTTTATAATACTATCTTTATTTATAATAATAATAATACTATCTTTTATTTATAATAATTTTTTCTTAATAAGAACTTTTGTTATTTTTTATAAAAATTTTTTTTCTTATAAAAACTTTAGAATTTCATTTTATAAAAAAAATTGTGATTATTGGTACTCAATATTTTATTTCATGTGTTCTTTTTTTATTTTTTTTGTTTTCTTATGTATTTTTAATCAAAGTTTGGAATCTAAATTTATTTTAGGATTATTTCATATAGTTATTATATGATACTGTATTATTATGCTATTTTATAGTGTAATCGGTAGATACTTTTTTTTTGCATAGTTTATATGATTTGATTAAATTATATTTTTCATTATGCTTTATCAAATTATTTATTTACTTCATTGATTGTGTTTTGATTTGTTTTTTGTATTGTAGAAGTTATTATTTATTATTTTTATATATCATGTATTTATAGTAATTGGATTGATCTTACAGTATCATTGTAGAATTTATTATTACTCTATGAAACATCTATTATAATTTTATTAATTTTGGTTTATTTTTTCAATATAAAACTAATGCCCTTTTCAATATAAAACTAATGCATTGAAAATAATTTTAGATATTTTTGTAATCTTTATATAAATAATCTTTATATTTATTGAATAAAAATTATAATAAATATATATTACATAAGTACTATGAAATTATAGAAATTTTTAAATATATGTCATAACTATGATAATTTATTAAATTTTTTAATCAAAGAAAAGAATTATTATTCATCAGATAGATATTTTTTGTTCTGAATTTTCATAATGAATTTTTTTACTTTTTTTTAACTTGATTGTTTTATGTCTTGGATTGAGTTTACTTACTTCAGTATTTGTAGATACTGTTAAATTTAGAGTAGCTATAATAATTATGTCTTGATTGTCTTGATGTTTTATGTTTTGGATTGAGTTTACTTACTTCAGTATTTGTAGAACTGTTAAATTTAGAGTAGCTATAATAATTATTGCTGTCATAAATATATAGATGTATATAGATACAAATAATGGTTTTTTTCATTATATAACTAAGGCCTGTTTTCTACGAAAAATAGAAAAATAATTGGCTTTTTCAATTTTTAAATCATTATTTTAATGAATATCATCATTTTAATGAATAATTAATAATTTTATTAAATAAAAGATTAATAATATGAAATGTAATTATTTATATAATGTTGAATTAATTGCTTTTTTTATTTTTTGGTATTTATATTTAATTTTTATTGAGCTCTATTTTTTATTTTTGTTAAATATTTTTTAATATTTTACATTAATTTAATCTTTCAATTTAATTTTTTAATAAGAAATATATTCCAGATAAAAATGAAAGTATTTTGTAATTTTTCTTTTTTCTAAATTGATAAGTTTGTGTTATTATTGCATAGATATGATATATTTATTAGCATTAGTTCATAAGTTTATAAGTTCATAGTATAATATTACTTTTACATTTGTAGCAAATGTTATTAACAAATTTTTTATTTTTACAGAAGTTAATTTTGAAATTGTGATTTCTATTAAAGAAAGATGTTTCTCTTTGAATTATTTGTGTTCTTAAGTTGCTTAAGCATAGATCATTGCTTTTATTCATAAAGTTGCCTATAAATATTATTTAGAACAAAATTGATGTAGAAGATTTGAATTTTGTGTAATTGTTTTATTTTTTAATATGGGAAATAATTTTTGTTATAGTTGTTTTTTTATTGTACAATTCTTATAGAATTACCATAGTAGTTATAGTTTTTTACATTATCTATTTTAATTATAAAGGAACAATTTGAAATTAAATGTTTATACAGTTTCTAGCAGTTCGAAGGATACTATGTACTTAATAATTAACTTTATTTCTTCATTTTTTTTTTATATAAAGAACAAATTGTTTAACATTTAATTTAATAAATAAAGTATAGATATAATTAAATAATAGATATTAATAGATGCAATTAAATATAAGAATGAAAATTCTTCAAAATTCTATTTTTATATAGCAAATCTATGTAATTTTTTCACTTCAAAGAATTATAAGTTTTTGTAGCTTTTATAGCTCTACGATTTTCCTTCTTCCTGAGAAACTGTAATTCTTAATTAAGATTCTTTCAATCTTAACTTACTTTAATCTAATGTAACCTAACCATTACTATGAGCATAATCGATGAAATAAAATATTTGAAATATGATTATGAACAGCGAAGCAATGAAGAAGTATTATCTTATTTGATGATGGAGCTCTTACCCAGATATAAAGAGAATCATTTTCTTACATCGAATAAGCAAAGAAAGCACGAACCACTAATTTGTCTGTTATATCGTAACATTTCTATAACTAATAAATCATGTGGCTATATAAAGTTTTTATATTATTGCATGTATAATATCATTTGCAAATATACAATATTACAATATTATTTTAATACTCTTACAATTCTTTATGTTATTGTATCATGTTTTTTTCTTTCTATTTTACAATTTGTGTCAATATGCTATGAATCGTAAAATCATAAATAGCGCTGATATTTTGCATATTACAAATTGTAAATAGAGATCATTTGTATTAAATATATTTTAATTATTAATTAATTATTAGTTATTAATTAATAATAAAAAAGAAGAAATCTGAATAAATTCATATAGCAAAAAACAAAAAGAAAACATTCATACAATTAAAATTAAAACAAATATTCTAAGTAAAATTAGAATAAAAAAATAATTTATTTGAATATATTATAAAAAACTATAGAATATTAATGTATTCTATATAATTTATTATATAATATTATAAGACATATATATATGTAATAAAGTGGAAAATCTGATATTTTTAAAAATATTCTAATAGCATTTTTTGAAGAATAAGAATTAAAAATCAAGAAAAATCTAAATATATAAAAATATCTAAAATATTTATAAAAATGTGAAACGCTTTCAAACAAAAATTGTAAATATCAAAATAATGAAAAAATTCTTATATAACCATTCGATAAAGCTTATTGTTAATTTACAAATTATAAGCATTTTAATCTTTAATCTATACATTAGATAAAATGAAACAGCGCAATGATAGAATTAAATATGTTTAACTTGATTCACGGCATTTACCATATCGTTTTTGTAACAAAATCATTCAACAAAAAAGCCTTATATTGTTTTAGATATACTCTGTCATTAGAATTTTAATATAATGTAAAATGTATTATATAGTAACAATTTATTATTTAAAAAAAATTTATTGCAAATAAGTTATTGCAAATTATACAATATTTGATATTGTACAACATTTTATTTAAATCGTTATATAGATAGATCGTTGTATGATTTTTAATCTACTTATTTGTCAAAATTATTAATAATTATTAATAAGTATTAATGTATTAAATATTAAGTATTAAAAAAT